AAAAATATGCACATAGATCAATGGAACACAACAGAAGACCCAAACATGAGTTCATATAATTTCAGCTACCTGATATTCAACAAAGATGCTAAGAACACACAATGGAGGAAAGAGCATCTTCAACAAATGGTGGTGGCAAAACTGGATCTCCACCTGCAGAAAAATGAAACTCAACCCTTATCTTTCACCCTGCACAAAAGTCAACTCCAAATGGACCAAATACCTCAATATAAAAAAGGAAACTAGGAAACTGCTAGAAGAAAACATATGCAGTGCCCTCCAAAATATAGGCATAGGAAAGGACATTCTAAATCAGACACCAGCTGCTCAGGCACTAAGGTCAATAATCAGTACATGGGACATCATTAAATTACAAAGTTTCGGTGCAGGAAAAGAAACAACTAAGGAAGGGAAGAGGAAACCCACTGAGTGGGAGAAAATCTTCACCAGCTACACATCTGACAGAGGATTAATATCCATAATACACAAAGAACTCAAAAAAGAAAGAAAGAAAATAAAAGACCCAATAAAAAGATGGGCAATAGACCTAAAGAGAGAGTTCTCAAGCGAAGAAATAAAAATGGCTAAGAAGCACCTTAAGAAGCGCTCAACATCCTTAGTAACTAGAGAAATGCAAATCAAAACCACTTTAAGTTTTCATCTTACTCCAGTCAGACTGGCTAAGATCAAGAGAACAGAAGACTCTAAATTCTAGAGAAGATGTGGAGAGAAAGAGAACACTCATTTACCACTGGTGGGACTGCAACCATTATGGAAGGTGATGTGGAGAGCCCTCAAGAAACTAAAAATGAACCTACCATATGATCCAGTTATACCACTCCTTGGCATATACCCAAAAGACTCATCATACTGTAGAAATACCTATACATCCATGTTTATTGCTATTCTCTTCACAATAGCTAAGAAATGGAAACAACCTAAATGTCCCTCAACTGATGAATGGATAATGAAATGTGGTACATTTACACAATGGAGTTCTACTCAGCAGTAAGAAAAGATGAAATTATGAAATTTGCAGGTAAATGGATGGAGCTAGAGAGTGTTTTTCTAAGTGAAGTAACACAAACACAGAAAAGCAAGCATTGTATATTTTCCCTCATTTGTGGATTCAATCCCTTATATGTGAGTATATAAATTCTGATGTAATGCCAGGAGCCAGGGAAAGGGAAAGGATACATGGAGGTAAAGGAAAAGACAGAAACTGAAAGGGGGATAGTAGGGAACAGATGTTACCTGAGGGAGGTGGAAAAAGTGGGAGTAATCGGCAGGGAGGAGAGGAGGGAGGGACATGAAAAGACCATAGTGTAGGAGAGAGAGGGAAGTCAGGAACAGAAAGATGGCACAAGTTGGGAGGTACTGGGGGAGGGTAGGGATAATGGGGTCACTGTGACTAGGAAGGGAGGGAGGAGGGAGGCCAGATCGGAGGAAAAAGAGTAGAGATAAGTGAATCTTGGGGGGCTAGGAAACCTAGAGGGAAAAGTGATACCCTAGAAACCCTATGAGAAATGCATGCAGAGTGTCTGAACATTCATGCATATGTATAACTAGGAAGTGCTTGGAAGGGGACCCAGTGTGAGATAGAAGAGACCTCCCTTAGAGTGACAAACATGCCATATAGTGCTCATCAAAGAAGTTTCTTTTTGCAACAGATGGAGGCTACTGCAGAGTTGCACATCTGGTCAGGCACAGAGAACATACACCTGGAGATACCCAGTACCAGGTGACATATCTGTAGTCAAATCTCTACAACCAAGGCTCAGGGAACATAGCAGAATAAGGGGTTGAGAGAGGGGAAATGCACCCCTCAACTGTCACCAGTGAGGCTTCTGTGTACACGAGTGTGTTATACACAGAAGGCCTCAATTGGCCAAGTTTTGGGGAATAAGATACTATAGAGTGTAGGATGGGACTCCTATATGAAACCTCACTCACCCACCCACAACTCAGGGACCAGTGCAGAAGAGGAGGCAGAAAGACTGTAAGGGCCAAGGCTGGTTCCTGAACATAAGGAGTTGGAGGCTTCCAGGCCACTGGAGGCTAACTCATGTAAGTCTGTGGCAGTGGTGGCATCAAAAGCGGGATCCATTTCAGCGCAATTAAACAAGGGCCCAAAGGGGAGGTGAGAAATAGGCAGTGGACCAGCACTAGATTGAGAGTTATTTAAGACTGATTGCTGTTTGGGGAAGGAGAGTACGACTTACATACGACCACTGGATGGGCTGACTAGACTCCAGTGGACACATTTACACTGAAGGACATTTGGGTACAAACACCTGAATAAATATGACTCAGTATGTATGGGAGAGTACATACAGTTTTCTAGGGGGATGGGGGAGGCATGGATGGTGAAGGGGGGTCTGGATTTGAGTGGGAAATGTTGTGGGAAATTTTAAAAGTTCAATAAAAAATGAAATTAAAAAAATACAGCACCTGGCCGAGCGTGGTGGCTCACACCTTTAATCTCAGCACTCAGGAGGCAGAGGCAGGGGTGCTGGTGCTAGCCGGCCAAAATGGACAGTACCTGAAAGGGGGAGTGAGGATTGAAAGAAAGGAGACAGAAAAGATGCTTCTTGGGAGGGCTCAGTAAATACCGCAGCTCAGGTTTATTTCAGCTCTGCCTTTTTATACAGAAGAACTCAATTAGTTACAACTGTTTTTCCCCACCTGTATCTGAGGGTCAAGGAGTGGTCAGATCAAAAGCTTCCACTATTGCAGGTGTTGTGAGGCTCTCCATATAAACATATTCCTCCTAATAAGACAGATTAGATACTGGTGTGCATAACACACACTCAGTAAACAAGCCTGACACAACTGAATGATTAGCGGCTCCCGACATCTCCCCCTTCTTTATTTTTATAACCCCAGATTATGCTGTATCTGGGACAGAAGGACCGTGCCTGTCTTAGGTTGTCTTCTGCCAGAGCAAAGCCTTACCCGTCATTGGCACGTAGCTTCCATCAGCTACGCCCTGTCTTAGGTTGACTTTGTCCCAGAAGATCTTACCCGTCTTTGACTACCGGCCTCTGTTAGGGGAAGGAGCGCAATCTCATATCATGCACAGCTGCCTTGACTTGCCACAGGCATAAACAACTTTACTGCCATCAGGTGAACTTTACTGCCACCAGAAGGAAACAAAGACAGGAGGAAAACCATGTAAGGAGGCTCTCAGCCTTTTTAGAATATCTGCCGCTGTTTACAGGGTGGAAATGTGGGGAAATTTTTTGTTTTTTCTATTATCTCTTGGCACATTGACATTGGTACAATATCCACTTTTTCCCACAAGCACACAGTCATCTACTTGTACACACCCAGACTTATTTTTAACAAAACAAATAGGCAACCCACTTCCCAATCCAAAATAATCATCAGGCATTTTGAAGCAGGCTGAGCAATTAACCAAGAGTCATTCACAGTCACTACTATCTCTTTTTTCTCCCATATCGCGGGGTGCAATATTGTGGATCAGGAACATAAGTCCAGTATAATTCAGCCAAGATCACTTGCGGGAACATTATCACCAGCCACGTTTGTCACCTCATCATTCTTTTCTACTTTTTCTTTGGTGCTCATCTGGCAAACCTCACCAACCTTTCTGGCAGCCACCTGGCTCCACCCACGTCCTGTGGAAAAACACAAACATGCTCTCTTCCCCATATCAATACAGGGTCAGGGCCATTCCATTGTTCAGTTAAAGGATCCTTCCACCTGACTTGGGCGTAGGTATCCTGTGACTGAGGGTGCCACATTCTATCTGCTGCAGAGCAGTCATTTTTATCCAAATTCAAAAAGTTTAAAATGAAAAGAGTATGATGTAAAAGATTACTTGGTGTCTGGGGATATAACTCCCCATTTTTTATTTTTTGTAATTGTGCTTTTAAAGCACCATGAGTTCTTTCCACTATACCTTGTCCTTGTGGGTTATACAGTATCCCAGTTCTATGCTCAATGCCCAATTGCAAGCAGAAACACTGGGACCCATGACTGGTGTAGCCAGAGCCATTATCCATTTTTATAATGCTAGGGATCCCAGCTATGGAAAAGCAAGTTAAATAATGAGTTATAACACTTTTTGTGGCTTCCCCTGTTTGCGCAGTAGCCATAATAAAGCCAGAAAAATGTATCTATTGTAACATGTACATACTGTTGCCTGCCAAAGTCTGCAACATGAGTAATGTCCATTTGCCACAACTGGTTAGGCTTCAGCCTTCTAGGATTAACCCCATAATGAGGAACAATTTGTGTTTGAGGACAAGATGAGCAGTGTCGCACAATTTGTCTTGCAGCTTCCCTAGTAATATGAAATTGTTTTCTCAAACTTTGACTATTTTGGTGATGAATGGCATGAGAATTTGTAGCTTGCTCTACCTGAGTCAATCCTATAAGCTGAGTGGCTTTTGAAATCCATGCACTGACTCTCCTCTCTCTACCTCAGCCCCAATGGCCTGTTGTAGCAGAGATTGCATGGTTCTAAGCGGGTACCAGATTCCTGCCGAAGGCTCCTGAGCCATGGCAATCATGGGAGGCGCAACAGCCTTCGGAGGGGGTGTTGGGGTGGTCCTAATTCTCTCCTCCTTTTTCTTTAACAGTTCTTTCTTTACAGCGTCTAACTCTGTCCTTAATTGCTTAATTTCCCAGTGATCAGGACACTTCTCCTGATCATACTCAACCATCTCCTCTCCTATGGTAGCCCCAGATGGGGGTCCTCATGAAAGGGTGGATCTGGCTCTGGTGGAGCAGAAGGTTTAGTTTCACTTTTAACCCAGCCGTGGCTTATCAGATTCTCCTATTTAGTCTCAGCCTTTGCTCCTAGGGCCCCAAGTATATTCCTTACAAAAACTGAGCGACTGATTCCTTGCCCCATCTTCTCCCAAGATAAATACTCACTGCTCCCCAATTGTACCGAGTGCACTCACTTAACTTCTCCAGCGGTGTCCTTCACTTTATCCCCTACTTTTCAGGTCCCTGTTCCAGGCGCCACTATGCCGGTGCCAGCCGGCCAAAACGTACAGTACCTGAAAGGGGGAGTGAGGATTGAAAGAAAGGAGACAGAAAAGACACTTGGGAGGGCTCACAGTGAATACTGCAGCCCAGGTTTATTTCAGCTCTGCCTTTTTATACAGAAGAACTCAATTAGTTACAACTGTTTTTCCCCACCTGTATCTGAGGGTCAAGGAGCGGTCAGATCAAAGGCTTCCACTATTGCAGGTGTTGTGAGGCTCTCCATATAAACATATTCCTCCTAATAAGGCAGATTAGATACTGGTGTGCATAACACACACTCAGTAAACAAGCCTGACACAGCTGAATGATTAGCGGCTCCCGACACAGGGGGATCCCTGTGAGTTCAAGGCCAACCTGGTCTACATAGTGAGTTCCAGGACAGCTAGCGCTACAGAGAGACCCTGTCTCAAAAAGACAAAAAATACAAAAAAAAAAAAACAGTACATTTAAATAAAAATTTTAAAAAAGAAAAAAATTATAAATATTTTTCAAGCTTAGCATCCACATTTTCAAAAACCACATATCAAAAACAAAGACTGCACAAATGAACTCAATCCTATTTTTCTTCGGTATAAATTCATCAGAAAATATTGTTCTTCTGAATATTGATATATATTTAATTACATTTATGTGTGTGTGTGCATGCACACACATACACACACACCATGATGTAAGTATGGAAATCGGGACAAATTGTGAGACTTGGTTCTCTCCTTTTGCCACATAGGTCATGGTTATAGAACTGGGGCCCCAAGGCTTAGCTGAGTGCACCTTTATCTGCCTAATTCAGCTTTCTTTACAAGCCCCTGGTACTTTCTGGCTTCTCTTTTTCTTTCTCCTCATCCTCACTGGAGCTGCTTGTGGTCACACCCCTGTCCTTCCCAGGAAGATCTTTCCCTAACTGGACAGATCGGTTCTGATTTCTGATACTTAAGCTGTTTTTCTCTTTTATACATTCATCATAGACAAGTCTTTAGCATTCTCACTGACAATGTGCTTGGTAATTCTGAGGTAAGGGTTCCCCCCAAAATATGCCACTTTTGTCCTCTTGAGTAGCTTCTGAAGCCTTCTTTCTTTCAGCATTTTTACCTCTTCTCTGCTAGGCATCTGTCCTTGGTTTTTCCTTTTGCTTCATCCAAGGTCTCAAACACTTTCTCCACTGCCTTCATTTCACTAGCTGCCTCTTAAATTATAAATCCTAATCTTAGGAACCTTTCTCCATGGTAACAGTCACATCTAGTTTCTCTACAAGCGGTCCTGTGCAGATGACAGTGAGTTTTTAGTCAAGAAACACATAACGAATTACCAGGATCTGAGCTCCTGCACAAGGCTAGGCTTGTGAATCAATGCCCATTCCTCCTCATTCTATCAGGTGAAGGCTTCTTTTCCTTCTGTACCCTTTGGTCAGCAGAGTCAGCAATATTGGTTTCATAGAAGAGAAAAAAGTAAAACCAGAAGTATATAGAGCTTCTGCCGGAATCCTGGATGTTTACAGGAGGTTTGCTTCTTATTATAGGCTAAGAACACTTCTTAGTCATGAATAAAATCTTCAGGTGAGGGGACTAGAGATGGCTCAGAGGTTAAGAGCACTGGCTGCTCTTGCAGAAGACTGGGGTTCAATTCCAAGCACCCACATGGTAGCTAACAACAGGCCATAACTCCAGTTCCAGGGAATCTAATACCCTCTTCTGACCTCCACAGGCACTGTATGACATGGGTGCACTTACATACATGCAGGCAATACACTCATACACATAAAATAAAAATAATAAGTAAAAAATTAAATCATAAGGGTAAAAAAGGCCTTAATAAATGTCTTTTCAAAGTCATCATAAACTCAAAGACAAAAAAAAATCTAAAAAGTATTGTTATTTAGTTGAAAGCACTTAATATTTAAAGCATAGTTGTTTAAATACCAAGTAGTCAGCAAGTCCATGACAATGAAAGTGAATCAGTGTTCCTTGATCATTTTCTTAAGTGTTTATAGAGAAGATTCCAGAAGCAAAAGAGATATCCCAATAAAGGTTAGTGTTCAATCCTTTAAACTAAATCTAGGGACTGGAGAGATGGCTCAGCTCAGCAGTTAAGAGTACTAGCTGCTCTTTCAGAGGACCACAGTTTGATTCCCATCACCCACATGGCAGATAATGACCATCCTTAACTCCAGTTCCAGGGGATCTGACACCTTCTTCCAGTCCCTGCAGCCACTGAGCAACACAGGCGCACTTACATACAGGAAAAACACTCATATGTATAAAACAAATAAACATTAAGCCTAAATAGCTATTATTTACTAATATAAAAAATCTATATCAAATTACATATAACCCAAGTAAAATTTCACACATATATGAAATCCAAGAGATTATAAAGTAGGTAAAGTATACAAACAGAACTAAAAAAATATATTATAAATACCTCAAACCAATACATTTTCAAATTGGCCCAATAATGTGAACATTACTGTCAATAATATATACCAAACTGACTAAAACATGTTTATGAGTATAAGTGTAGCTTCTTCAAAAGTATTTAAATATAAAAAAAGGATACTGAATTAGACTCAGACTCTTTTTTTTTTTTTTTGAAACAGGTCTCAGTATGTAGCTGTGGTGTCCCTGGACATCCCTATGTAGACCAGGCTGGCCTGGAACTCAAGAGATCTGCCTGCCTCTGTTAGGATTAATGGCATGGGTCACAATGCCCAGTTTACACTCGTATTTTTTAGATTTAAAAAATTTTTATTTTTATTTTTATTTTATGTGTATGAGTGTATTGCCTGCATTTGTGTAAGTGCATCCATATCATGCAGTGCTCTCAGAAATCAGAAGAGGTTGCTGGATCTCCTAGAACTGGAGTTACAGGTGGTTGTTAGCTGCCATGTGGTGTTGCAAACCGAATGGTACTCTGTAAGAACAGCCAGTGCTCTTAACTTCTGAGCCATCTCTCCAGTTCCTACATTCATATTCTTAAAATACAGTCAAATCCTTCCCCAAATCAGAACCGTGTGAACTAAGGCCAGAAGAGTTGTGAAGATGCCCCATTCCTTCAAGGTGATGTTTATCTTGGAAGCAAATAAGAGCAAGCAAAATGCTGGCAAACCGAAACCCATGATTAGTAAAAGATGCAAGCTACCTATTTAAGAGAAATAGTGTTAGGTGTGTCTTTTACCATAATTGAGGAATTATAAATTCAAGCTTAATTATTATTATTCAAATACAAAGGGTGAAAAGGATGTATTAACACAAAAGTGTCATTAAAATAAAAATCAATTTTCTATAGCATTTTTGGTAAATCTTTAATTGAATTTTTATGTATTTCATATAGAACATCTTACTCGATTAATCATCTTTATACCCCCTTCCCCACTAGGCCCCTCTCATAGTCCCTCTCACTGGAGTTCATACATTCTGTCATTGTATTAAGGCCTATCATATCAAGTTAGTATCCCCAGATGTCCCTCAGTGCAAGTTCATCCACTGGGGTTTAGTCAGCTTATCAGGAGTCCCTCAAATTAAGAGGATCACCTCTTCATCATCTAGCAGTAATCAGCTGCCAATAATTCTTCAACAAAGATTGGGGCCTGCTGCCCATTTCCACAGTTCTGTGCTGGGGTTTTGTTGCTTGAGTTTGCATAGGGCTCATGCATGCTGACACCATTGCTGTAGGTTCATATGAGAAAGGTCCCAGGAGCTTGTAGGACTCTATTTACATATGGTCATGCACCTCCTCCCTGGCACTTAGAATCTTTGCACCCCCTCTTCTGAAATGGTCCCTGAGCCCTGGGTTGGTGGAGTTTAAATAGGACTCCTGTCCAAGGACCCACACTCTGCAAACTCTTACTCTCTACACTTTGGCCATTTGTGACCTTTTGGGCTCCCGGCCCTCTGTTGCACAAGGGAGCTTCACTGATGAGAACTGAGAGATATATTCACGTCTTCTTTACACCTTGTTCTGTTCCATGAGCCTTACTTGTAGTGGCTGAATTGTAGATGTGCCACATAGGCATGGGCAATTCACAGACAATCTCTGTGTGTGAACAGTTGTGGACTTCTGTAATAGTCTCCATCTGTTGCAAAAGAAGCTTCTTTGATGAGTGGTGACTGGGATACTTGTCTGTAAATATAAGGATCCATATTTTGCATATAGTAAGAAATTACATTTGTCTAGGGATATGACAGCCTTGGGGTTATCTCTAAGATTTAACACCTCTCCAGCCACGTGCAGTTGGCTATGTTAACAGTACCACACATGAGTTTCCTTCCATTGAGTGGGCTTTAAGTAGCTGTTGATTGCTCCCAAGATAAACGTGCCACTAACGCACCAATGTCATTTGCTGTAGTAGACACCAAAATGGTTATTAGGGGTTGAACCATCAACTGATGTTCTCCCTTAGCAGCCTGCATAGTGCTCTCCAAAGCTATGAAAGCTAGCCTTCAGGAGAGATGGCTCCAGCTGAGTTCCAGCTCCACTGCTCCAAATCCTGTGTCCAAAGTATGTCCTGTCTTTAGCAATGGGTCTTACCACCAAGTTCTGGGAGACAAACAAGGGCTGTGCCAATAGCTTTGTTGATTTGGGGAGTCTCTTACACTACACTGACTAACAACTCAAAGGAAGGTTTCTGTTTGGCACTGTTTCTTGTTATGTAGCCTTCAGCTATATACATGAACTTAGGTAGAGATATTGTAGGTGTAATTTGTCATTAGGTTTTTGGACTAATGTGATGCCCTCTGGTTTTTTTTTATAATTTATTTATTATTTTTATTTTATGTGTATGGCTGTTATGCCTGCATGTAGGTGAGTGCACCCATGTCGTGCAATGCCCACGGAGGTCAAAGAGGCTGTTGGATCCCCTGGAACTGGAATTACAGACAGTTGTTATCTGCCATGTGGGTGCTGGAATTCAAACCCGGGTCTTCTGCAAGAACAACCAGTATTCTTAACTACTGAGCCATCTCTCCAGCCCCATGATGGAGATCTTCTTGAAGGCAGGAATATGTTCCATTAGTTC